AGGTGAGTAAAGGCATACAATTATGTGAACGCATTTCCAAGATTGTGGGGGTTTTCAAGGCAGTGTTTCTCTGTGTAGCGCTGGGTCTCCTAGAACTTGCTCAAACTCACAGAGATTCGCCTGCCTCTGCCTCCCGAGTGCTGGGATTAAGGGCGTGCGCCACCACACCTGGCAAGATTTACTCTTACATTTTGTCTATCAGTGTTTTGCCCACAGAGGTCATTAGAGAGGGCTGGATGCCCTGGAACTGGAATTACATATGGTTGTGAGCCACCACATAGGTGCTGGGAACCAAATCCAGGTCCTCTGCAAGAGCAGCATCTATTTTATCTACTGAACTTAAAACTTATTAGATATTGCTTACAACTTAAACTTTCCTATGTGGCCAGTAGCCTCATAGCAGCTTAGATTTAGGATATCTCTCTTGGGAGACAATTCAGTAAATAATTTTTTGTTGTTGTTGTTGTTTTGGTATTTCAAAAGACAGGGTTTCTCGGTAGCTTTGGAGGCTGACCTCAAATTCACACTGCCTCTGCCTTCCAGGTGCTGGCATTAAAGGCATGTGCTACCACCACATGGTCAGTAAATAATCCCTAATCCACACAAGTAAACGTCAATTACTTCCGGGGTAGGTGGGATTGATGGAACAGTCGGCACACAAGAACAGCTGTTGTCTATTGTCCAACAATGTAAATCGAAACAGATCAGAAAAACCTTGATGCCAGCCAGCATTGTGTGACATTTCTAGGAGCAAGGGGTATTCCACGCCACTTCCCTGTCCTTTGGTCCTGAGCTGTCTAGGGAAAATACCACATCTGAACCACCTGCACCTACAACAAGGTGGCCCTGGCCCAGATGCGTAAAGGCCACAGGGACACCACATCTAGGTATCAGTTCCTCACACTGATCTTGTCTTGTTCCCTTACCCTTTCCCGAAGCAAGGAGATACAGAAGTCAACCTCCTTCTGCCGAAGGGTCTGGAGCTGGGCGGTCCCATGGTGGTCCACGATGAGTCGGAGGTATGTGTATACGGCCATGGCAATGAGGATGCTGCTCTTTAGGACCCACTCCCTGCAAGAAGGGAGGACAATGCACCTACTCCCGACTAGACCTACTTGCCCTATCGGCCTGCACCCCAAACTGATGACCCACACTGAGAATGGCTTCGGTCCTGTGAGGGTTTTGCTCAGGCTGCTATTTTCTAACTGTGAGTTCACTAAGAAAAAGATAACTACTTTTCTTTACCACATAGATGCCCAACAAAGGTAGGTGCTAAATGACATCAACCTCTTGTAACATAAGCATTTTCACAGCTGCCAATAAGGTAATTTATTCAACCACCAACACGCACCATATGTGCGGCATATGTGAGGCACCGGGAACAGAGGCAAGCTACATGTCCCCTGCTCAGCTGTGGGGAATGTTTCTGTGTCAGGGGTTCTCTTCAGTGTGACGCAAGGACTTCTGGGGATTTCCAGGACCCTTTCAGTACATGGAGTTCTCAGAACACACTGTGCTGGCCCTCTATCAGGCTTATTATAGTCAACCATGCCACCAACCCCACCCTCAGACAATGAGTCACCTGCCTTAAACCCTAAACCAAAATCTGGGAGCATACTGCCTGGTGGGGACGGGGTGCGGGTGCCTGACACCTGAATTTAGATGGGAAAACCCATGTCCCCGAAGTTTTCTATTTTCCCTGAAAAACAATGAAGAAAGCATCATCAGTTCAAAAGGGGCAAGGGAAAAACAGTGGGGAGGCTCTAAAGCTGCCTCCCAGTGCCAAGAGGTTTATAATTGCTTTGACACCCCTGCAGGAAGACACAGGGCTGGAGGAAGAGTTTAATTAGTACAGCCAGGCAACATCCTGATTCAGGAAAGGAAAGGTAACCACGGCTGTATGGCCTTTTCTTCTCTTTTGATGTCTTCTCTCTCTCTCTCTCTCTCTCTCTCTCTCTCTCTCTCTCTCTCTGTGTGTGTGTGTGTGTGTGTGAGAGAGAGAGAGAGAGAGAGAGAGAGAGAGAGAGAGAGAGAGAGAGAGAGAGAGAGAGAGAGTCGTCTCTGTTTTTTGAAACAGGGTCTTGTTATAGCTCAGGCTAGACTTGAATTCATAGAAATCTTCCTGCCTCAGCCTCCAATGCTAGGACCACAGGCATGCAATACTATGCCCAGCACTGCACTGTCCCTTTTTTTTTTTTCACAAAATGGAAATGCTAGCCAAGGACACATACTTCCTGTTACCCCCACATGCCGAAAAATACTTGGAAAGGTTAGGTCAACAGGATGGTAAGCTAGAACACAGTTTAAAATACCAAGGTATTCCCTTCCACCAAAATGCAAAGGGGCTGGGCAGCAAGGTGGCTGCTATGTGACACCTTATGGGAATTCAGCTTTAAGGGTTGCTGGGGACAGACTCTGACACGAGGAACAGAATGAGAAAATCATTTCTGAGGGAGATGACTAGCAGAGGGGAAGCACAAATCTGACCACTAGGACGGCACAATGAAGAGGACAGGGAGATGGAAGTAAGGCTGTCTGGCCAGCAGAGAAACAAGCGGTCTAAAGAGAAGCAGAGGCCTAGAAAGAAACTGCTAGGAAGTCCCATTGCTAGCCACATGACGCCAGCCCCAGGGCAGCTGCATAACTGAGCTTAGGGCACTAGGTGGCGCTGCACAGCAGGCCTGGGCAGAGCACAGCATTGATTATGAAGAGAATGACTCTTGGAAATTGAAACAAATATGGACAATAATATTAGGCCTATCAGTCATTTGGCTACTTGATGTCCTTACTCTGAAAGAGACACTAACATGAAGTGATGCAGACACTGGTAACATGGCATCAAGGTGACGCATAAGCAAATTTACATAACAGAACAGCCTAGTCCTTTGCTTTGACGGGGAGAGAAGCCGGAAAGTCAACGGCTCCCGTGCCGCCTTCTAGCAGGGCTCTCTGCTCTCTATGACTCCTTCACCCACACTGCCCCTGTGCCATTCCAAAAGAGTATGTGCTGGGCCGAGAAGCTTGGAAAGAGGCGAGGAACCTGCCAGGCTCATGTGGTTGTATGCCCCCTCTACTGAGCTCATTTCCCCCTCAGCTCCCCCAAAATATAAACATTCCAAGGCGGTCTGGGTCAAAAATAAACCCTTATCAGATGAAACCAGCTTCTCCTGGGCTCTGAGCTATTTTAGCAAGGTCCTTCTTTCCCACTCCTCATCCCTTGGGACACGCGGTGGCGTTAATTCTTGCTGTCATCTGCCACTTTCCCCTTGCATCGGAGTGCTCTACAGCGTGAGCCTTTCTCCCCCACGGCCCATACTCACACCCCTCACGGTCGTATCTGGCTCTTGCCCCACCCTTCACGGTAGACTCTACCTCTGCTCCGTCAGGATATCCAGAACACTTTCTGCCAACCAGATATTTTTGGCTGTAACATCGCCACCTGATTTCAAGGGGATGGGAAGGGGGAGAATCAGAATACAGTAGCTCTAATTAGCAACTCAGCTAATCAAACAGGCATCCTCACTCATCCTGCCGGCCCACCCAACTCTCCCATCACCACTGCCCTGAATGCTAGAATAACCTTTCTCTCTTCCTTAGGCTTTAAAGTTTTCCCCGTTGCCTTGAGAGAGAAAGGGAAAGAATGCTCTGCTCTAGAACCACTACTATACCAGAGCAGGTGTTTTTCTATACACCAGGAAACGCAGAGGGAATGCTCTGCCCTTGAAAAGGAATGTCTGCGACAAACAGAAGCCTCAGTTGAAAAGCAAAGATGGTCTCTGGACTAGTGCCTAAGAGATGCGAGTCACTGGCATGGATGCAGTCTAGTCCGGAAGTCAGGGTGGGATTCAGGATCCTGACAGGCTAAGGGGGCTCTTTCTAGACACCAGTTTTTGGATCTCTTACTGAACTTCCTGGAGCAGAATTAACATGCAGTGTTGCCAGACAAAAATACTGGGATGAGAGGTGAGACCAGGAGTGTCAAACAGAAAAGGAGGTGTCAAGAAAGAATAAAAATGCACAGCACATCAATGCTACACACTGCCCTGGGACTCAGTGAAAAAATCCAGGGTTCACGTGGTCACATCACAAAGGTGGGGTCATACACACTAAGCAGGGGTGTCAGTGTTGGAGAAAATCCTAAGAAGGGCAAAGCACAACAGGTATGACGGTGCATGCCTGTACCATCAGCACCGGAGAAACTGACGCAGGAGGACCGTGAATGTGAGGCCAGCCCGGGCTACACAGCGAGACTTTTCAGTTAAAGGGGGGAGGAAGGGTGCAGTGGAGCTGGGCGTGGTGTGTTCTAGTGGCAGAGCACGTGCCTAAACACGTGAGGCCTTAGGTTCAATTCTCACCGTAAGAAACAAAACAAAAAACAGGCACCAATAGGCATTGGTGAAGCGGAGCTGCAGGGTTAGCCTCATTTTTATCTATTATATTAATACTTTGTTTCCTTCTTTTTTAACAGGAAAACAAAACAAACGATCTCAAAAGCAGAAGGGATGGCATGGGCAGACCTTTCCATATTCAATATTTCAGACAGATATCATAGATGCCAAGATTAAAAAAACCTAAATGTCAGGGACTATTCTGTGACACTGTCCCTCAGACTGGCCCCAGTTAGTTGCCAAAATTATGAGGGAGCCAGTGCTGAGAACAGAGGCGGAGGCAGGGAAAGCAGAAAGGCAGAGAGCAAACGGCTTTCCTTGTTTTCCCTGCCCAGCCACTCCTGATCTAGCATGCTCCCTCCAGAGTGGTGACTGGCTAACACAGGCCAAACACCTGGTCAGGTCTTAATTTAGCAGGAAAGAAATGGTGGCAAGACTCATTGACTCAAAGGCCCCCTGTGATTTTTCAATCCATTTTTTTTCCTGCAATGCATGTGGCCAGAAGATATCTACATCAGGGTCCGAGAACCCATCAGTCAAGTTCCCCAGGTGCTCGGTCATCCCCCACTGCCTAGGCTTATCTCTGGGCTCCTTCCCTTTCTTCACAGGTTCCTGCCAACAAGCTTACCTGCAATCTGCTTCATAAATGTCATGCAAACACCGTCAGCTCCCAGAACTCCACTCTTCACCAGTTCCCGAACCAACCACACCAACTAAAGGAGAGGAGAAGACACACAGAGCAGAGATGTGAGTTTGAAGAGGGAGCTGTATCAGTCACCTACAATTTAGGTGCACATAACAGCTGCAGTCCACACCCTCTCCCTTAAGAGGGCCCACCTCCAGCCTACGCCACTGACCTCCTTCCCTTTCCTGTTTCGGGTAAGGGACTCACCCCTTCCTTGTGCATGGTCAACACATGCTCTAACCCTGAGCTCCATTCCAGCCCTCCATCTCTCTCTTTTCTGGCCTTACCTGAGTGCGGCAGGTATCTTGCAACTTCAAGTACTTCTCCATAAGTATCTGGTTGATTTTATTCAGGACAATGTTCATACCATCACGACTCACCAGAGCCAAATCCCGGTAACACTGTCAGAAGTAAGGTTTGTGAGCAGCCAGTAAACTAAGACCTTGACCCCACAGTCATCCATGCAACTCCAACCCGTCTCTTAAATAACAGCAGTGAGATACCGAGTGGCAACGAACACATTGCATTCTGGATTCTTTCTTCTACAGGGCTCCTCCATTCCAAAACTACCCTCTGCTCTGTCTCTTGGGGTAGGGAAAGGACTAAAAGATTCTCTAATAAGGCAAGAAAGCCTGTTGGACAAAGCTCCTAGAGCTGTCCCTGTCCCCCAACCTCCCTTTTCAGGAAGTGTCATACTGTTTGATGCCACAGGCTGAGCAAGCCCAGGTGGAAGCCATCTGCGTTTCATCTGCCAGTAAAAGGTCACTGAAAAATGGGTTTGGGTGAAAGTCAGAAAGAAAGCCAGAGGCTTTCAAAAAGACTTGTAACTTAGCCAGATGCAGCAAAGGGAATACTAAGGGACCAGGATCTGGGAGAAAGAACAGAAATAAAATTACACTTTCTTAATAGTGGCACATGACTATAATCCCATCATTTGGAGGTTAAGAGGGGAGGGGAATCATAAGTTCAAGGCCTGACTGAGCTATAAAGTGAGACCCTTGTTTAAAACCAAAACGAAACATACCCTTGTTTGAGACAGAGTCTTACGTTGTAGCTCAGACTGTCCTGGAACTCACTATGTATGGCAATCCTCCTGTCTCAGCCTCCTGAGGTTGCAGGTATGTACTATTATAGCCACTCAAAGCTAGATGTGGTGGTGCACTTTCTTTTAAGTGACTTGTTTTATTTTATGTGCATTGGTGTTTCGCTTACATGTTATGTCTGTGAGAACACGGGGTTGCCCAGAACTGGAATAACACAGCTGTGAGCCACCCTGTGGGTGCTGGGAATTGAACTCAGAACCTCTGGAGGAGCAGCCAGTGCTCTAAACCTCTGAGCCATCTCTCTAGGCTGAGCGGTGTACAACTTTAATTCCAGCACTCAGGAGCAGAGGCAGGTGGATCTCTGTGAAGCCAGCCTGGTCTACCTAGTGAGTGCCAGGACAGTCAAGGCTACAAAGAGAAACCTTGTCTCAGGACAGGAAAACAAACAAACAAACAAACAAAAAAAAAAACCCCAAACTTTTATAAACTGAACTCTGAACTTGTCTTCTGAGATTGACAAGTTATCAGGCTCGTGTGGCAAGTGCAAGTGCTTTTACCCACTCGGTCATCTTGCCAGTTCCCAAACATGAACTTTATTAATTAACATCTTTCTTCTTTTCTCTTGAATGCCAAGTACTGAAGGTGTGTGTGTGTGTGTGTGTGTGTGTGTGTGTGTGTGTGTGTGTGTGTACATTTCAAGTTTCTTTTGAGTCACTGCTTCCCTTTCCCTTAGAGCTTTTCCTACCCTGCTTCTTCATCAATGAGATCAGGCCTTAGGGAACCTCATTAGCTGCCTCCTGCACCTGCTGAGTCCTATCCTGTCACTGTCTCACCCAAAGGGCAAAATTCAGTAGGCAGCTTCTTAGCTGGAGAGAAACCTCGGAAGGCTGGTGCAGAGACGGCATCAAGATTAACAATAAGCTGGGCGTTGGTTATGCACTACTTTAGTCCCAGCATTCGGGAGGCAGAGGCAGGCAAATCTCTAGGAGTTTGAGGCCAGCCTTGTCTACAAGAGCTAGTTCCAGGACAGCCTCCAAAGCCACAGAGAATCCCTGCCTCGGAAAAAAAAACAAAAACAAAAAACAAACAAAAAGATTAACAATATACCCAGTGGTGGTAGTGGTGTATGCTTTTAATTCCAGACAACTGTGAGCTATGACATGGATTCTGGGAACTGAAGTTGGATCTTCTGTAAGAGCAGTATATGCTCCTAACCATTGAACCATCTCTCTAGCCATGTTTTACTTCATTTATTTATTATGTTTTGTTTCGTTTTCAAACAGAGCTTCTTTTGTGTAGCCCTGGCTATCCTAGAATTCTGTGTAGACCAGGCTGGCCTCCAACTCCCAGAGACCCACCTGCCTCTGCCTCCTGAGTGCTGGGAACAAAGGCGTCTGCCACCAACTGGCCTTTTTTGGGTTTTTCAAGAGTTTTTTTAAGACGTACTATTTATTTACTTACTGTCTTGGTACTTGATGGGTAGCTCTAACTGGCCTTGAACTCAAGGCCATCCTCCTATCTCAACTTCCTAGCTACTGATCTTACAGGCATCTATCACCATGCCCAGGTTTGTGCAGGCAGAGGAAACTGGGGCCCAAACCAGGGTCTCACACTTCTACAAAGCACTAACACTGAGCTACATCCAATCAGATTTTTAAAAATTTTATGTAGTGTGTATGTGGTGTGTGTGTGTGTGTGTGTGTGTGTTAGAGAGAGACAGAGAGAGAGAGACAGAGAGAGAGAGAGAGACACAGAGAGACAGAGAGAGAGAGAGAGACACAGAGAGACAGAGACAGAAAGAGAGAGAGAGAGAGAGAGAGACAGAGACAGACAGAGACAGAAAGAGAGACAGAGACAGAGAATGCACTAACTGGACACCTTTTGGGAGTCTGTCCTCTCCCTCTACCATAGGTTATGAGGACCAAACTCAGGTCATCAGGCTTATGTGGCAAGTACATCTACATCTACCAGCTGAGCCATCTCACTGGCCCTTAAATCAGATTTTAATTATAATATCTATAAAATATATACAAGAGGCAATAAAATAATAAATAGCCCTCAGTTTTCCAACTTAGTCTTTGCAATACGTCTTTAAAACCAGTGAGCCTATATTACTGCTCAGCATCACCAAATCAATGTCATCCATTTATCTCTAAAAATTTAGTGTAGGTGAAATTGCGGTACTTGAGAGGCTGAGGGAAGGAATTCTAGGTCAGTTTAGAACATGTCTCAAATGGAGAAAGAAGAGAAAGGAAAAAAAAAAGCACAAAAACAATTCTACCTAACGAAGTTCAAAATGACTGGTCTTTCTCCTAAGAAAGCATGAATGCGTGAAGAAGTACTGTCCTAGCCCTGCATTTTCACGGGCACCCCAGGCTGGCATCAGAGAGCTCAAACACAGCAGGTCCCCACATCCACACATGCTTCACTGATGAAAGCATCTCTGCTGGGGTACCAGGAGCATCCTGTCTGAACCCCTTAAAATGAGTTTCCTTTGGTTTTCACTGAACAAACGACAACAGAGCTAGGTTCCAAAGCACCTCATGGAGGAACTGCAGTCTCGGGGGAGGGAAAAAGCTGTAAAAGCCATACAGGTTTCAGACACATGAATGAGATCCATCAATCCATAGAGCAGAAACGACAGGAGGCCAAGAGCACTTGCGTTTCCTTCCACAACAGCTGCGCTCAGTGGAAGGCCAAGAACCAAGACCCCTCACGGTCAGGTGGGTCCAGCCAGTCTAAACTCTGGCTCATTATGCCAAGACTCAAAAGATACAAAGTTGATGGGAAGTGGCTCTCTGGAGAAAGGGAAGGCTTAATTTGTAAGAAGAACAGAACCCAGAGAAACTATCCTGCCTGGTACTGAACCTCATGGAGCCGCTTCTGTTTATGAAAAGGCCAGGCTGGTTTCCAGCAACACTCATTAGGAAGTCAGACGCCACTGCACTCCGGTGTTTTCTTAATCATTACATTAGCTTATTTAATCTAAAGGTTACATGCTGCAATTTTAAGCCTGTTTCCCATCTGTTGTTCTGGGTAAGCACTCTCACAGGCTTGGGTGTCCTTTACCTCTTCCACCTCCCCAAATGAAATGTCCACCTTTGAGCTTCGTGTCTTACACCTGACACAACATTCCCGTTACTCTTATTCTCCTGCCTTTCAGCTTTAGAACCTGGGGACAGAAAGGACCCCAGGCAGGAATTCATGAATTCACTGAGAATAAGGGACTTGAGATCACATCTGGAGAACAAGGTGATTCAGCTCTTGTCAAGAGTGTGACAAAACTCCAGTTAAACGTCCGTAGATTCATAAGGATCCAGGAAAGAAAGCAAGCGCCTTACCTTCTGGGCTTGGGCAGGTTCAGTGAGGACAAGAGTAAACAGGCCTAGGCAGATCTCCTCATGCTGGGGGGGTCCTTTGCATACCTGGGAGGTAACAGAGGAAAGACAATTAGCTGTCACTCACATGTACAAGTGCAAGCACAGTTTCTCCTAGAATTCTCGGGACTCTTGGGTAACATGTAATGGGAGGAAACCAACTCTCAAATAATGATTTCCTCCTCTTAAAAAGAATGAGGCACCTATTTCAGGAGATGAGAAAAGAAAAGGTAAAATTTTACTGCTTTCTCTGATCACCTGAAGCCAGAGCCAGAAAATACAAGAGTGCCAAAGATGGAGAAAACACAGGAACTGTGAGAGCCTGCGGTGGAGACATATCTACACCAGTCATGACCACGGACAACCACACAACCTCTGAGACCTTAACACAGCAACACCTGACAACTTGCAAGTAATACCTAAATGTTTCCTCCATAAGATTCCTCTAATTTTTACCTATTATTTATTTTAGACTATTTTTCAGTTAACATAGTTAAAAGGATTCACTATAGTATTTTCACATATATGTGTATATGGTATTGTATATGTAATGCATATGTGTGTTGTATGAATATGTTCAAGGAGGCCCAAGGTAGATGCTGGATATCTTTTTCACTTAAGCGCTACCTTTAGCTTTTGAAATAGGGTTTCTCACTAAATCTGGAGCTCACAGATTTGGCTACGGTGGCCAGCCAATGAGCTCCAGGGATCCAATTGTCTCCCCAAAATCTCACTCCTAGGCTAGGGTTACATGCATGCACTGCTACTCTTTTAAGACGTTACCAAGGACCAAGCTCAGGTCATGATGCTGGGTCAGCATGCACTTTACTGACTGAGCCGCCAACCTAACCATATTACCTAAATTCTTTTCATTACTTTATTAATTTCTGGTGTGTGTTGTGCACGCACAATGTCACGGCAAGTCTATGGAGGTCACAGGACAACGTGTAGGAGTTGGTTCTCCCTTCTTCCATATGGGTCTCAGGGACTGAACTCAGACAGTCAAGCTCAAAGGCAGATACCCTTACCCAGTGAGTCATCTTGTCAATGCTATTATAGAAATCCCTTATGTGTGCTATTTAAAATTATTTTAACTGCACAGATTAACAAGAGAGGTAAAAGACAGTATGCATGTAAGAATTATTTGCAAAGAAAGGATAAAACAACATTTTCTTATTTGATAACTGTAATGCGTGTGTGCACATACATGACTTTGCATGTGGAGGTTGGAGGATAACTTGCTAGGTTGACTTCTCACCTTCCACCATGTGGGTCCCAGGGAGTAAACACACTGTCATTCTATCTATTGAGCCTACCTTGCAAGAAATTTTTGCCAGGTATGGTGGCACATGCCTTTTTTTTGAGACAGATTTTCCTCTGTGTAGCTCTGTCACACTCACAGAGAACCTCCTGCCCGCCTCCACCGCCCCACCCCATGCTGGAATTAAAGAGTGTACTACCACTACCTGGCTTTTTGGGGGTGGGGGATTTGGTTTGGTGCATGCCTTTAATCCTAGCACTTGAGAAACAGACACAAGCAGTAAGTTCAGCCAGCACAATCTATATATCAAGTTCCAGGTCAGTCAGGGCTGAGACCAAGTCTAAAGAAATACAAGTTTGAGCCGGGCGTTGGTGGCGCACGCCTTTAATCCCAGCACTCGGGAGGCAGAGGCAGGCGGATCTCTGTGAGTTCGAGGCCAGCCTGGTCTACAGAGTGAGTTCCAGGACAGCCTCCAAAACAATACAGAGAAACCCTGTCTCGAAAAAAAAAAAAAAAGAAATACAAGTTGTATTTTGTCAAAGAAAGTAGAGGACAACTCTAGGGAGTCAGTCCTCTCTTGCCATACTATGGAAACCAGGAATGAGAACTCAAGATTGTAGAGGCTGTGTGCAAAGCCTTTGACCTACTGAGCCACCTGGCCGGCCAATAACTGAGCTTTTAAGCTGTTATATAAATCAGGCAAGATGGCACAAGGTTATGATCACAGCACTTGGGAGACTGAGACAGAAGGACCTTGAGTATGAGGCTAGCCTGGATTCTATACTAATTTCAAGGGCTAGTATGCAACACATACTAAGATGTGGTCTCAGAAGAAAGATTCAAAGAAACACACTCTAGCCAGGCAGGGGCAGCACACGCCTTTAATTCCAGCACTCGGGAGGCAGGAGGATCTTTGTGAGTTCGAGGCCAGCCCAGTCTACAGAGAGTTCCAGGACAGGCTCCAAAGCTACAGAGAAACCCTGTCTCAAAAAATAAAAACAAAACAAGCAAACAAACAAACAAACAAACAAACAAACAAACAAAAAAACAAACTCTAATAGTGAGAGAGTAAAAGTTCTGTCTGCATCTCAGAGCTTCTCCAAGCAGAATGGATATTAGGAGGACACGGTACTTACATACGCGTTGAGGGCATCGTTGGCTTCTCGCTCAGAGACACCTGTCGTCATCGATGTCACAATACTCATACACCTTTCCAACCTCTGGGGGGAGGGATGGGAACAAATGGGGAGTACGTCATTAACACTGTCTATGAAGTACTTTTGGCACCAAAACATTTTAAAACTTCAAGCTTAGTCATCCTTCTACTATGCTTAAAAAAGAAAAAGAAAAGACTGTAAGCAGAATGCCACTAACGAATGTAGGAGGAGCAGCAGCAATAGTAGATGATTCTGGCCAAGGTCACCCATGTGTAATACAGTAATAATGTGTAATACCACCTTCAGGAAAGGTAAAGTCATAAAACTCACACTGCTGACTACCTCCACAGGAAAATAACAAATGGAGGACAGCCTGGAGGATGTCACCAAAGCCACCGTAAAGCAAACTGACACCATTTGCCTCTAACACTAGGAAAGTCAGGTGTGGTGGTATCCACTGTAGTCCCAGATTATTAGGAGGCTGGGATAGGAGGGTTACTTGAACAACCATGTAACACAGTATGGTCTGAGTCAGTCCAAAAATAAATGGACAAACATGAAGGCACACACCTGTTATCTGGGTACTCTAGAAGCTGAGGCAGGGGGATTCTGAGTTCAAGGTCAGTCTGGGCTGCACAGTAAAACTTTTTATAATTTTTCTTTAAATTTTAAATATAAAGTTAAAACTAAAAAACTAAGACTCTCAACATAAGTTCAGCATAAGGTGTAGATCTTGCTTTCATTTCTGACACAAGCAAACTAACTTTATAAAGAGAATTTAAGATACAATCAAAGGTTATGCATGCTTTAATCCCAGCACTCAGGAGGCAAAGGTAGGTTTTTTTGGTTTTTCGAGACAGGGTTTCTCTGTATTATCTTGGAAGCTGTCCTGGAACTCGCTTTGTAGACCAGGCTGGCTTCGAACTTACAGAGATCCACCTCCCTCTGCCTCCCGAGTGCTGGGATTAAAGGCGTGCGCCACCAACGCCAGGCAGGTAGGTAGATCTCTGTGAGTTCAAGGTCAGCCTAGTCTACACAGTGAGTTCCAGGACAGCCAAGGGCTACATAATGGGATATTGTCTCGAAAGAGAGAGAGAGAGAGAGAGAGAGAGAGAGAGAGAGAGAGAGAGAGTAGAAAACAGATAGATCTGAAGTACTGAGTAAATCAAGGAATTACTATTATGTTTTGCATGTTAAATTTAAGAAGGAAAAAGAGGGGAGAGAGAGAGATGGCTCAGCAGTTAAGAGCACTGGTTGCTCCTGTAGAAGACCCAAGCTGGACTTTCACCACGGATATGGTGACTCTCAACAGTGTTTAACTCCAGTTCTAGATAATTCAATACACATACAGACATAAAGCCAAAACACCCATATAGGAGAATTGGCTGGATGGTTAAAAGCATTGGCTGCTAGCCAGGTATTGATGGCGCATGCCTTTAATCCTAACTCTTGGGAGGCAGAGGCAGGTGGATCTCTGTGAGTTTGAGACCAGCCTGGTCTACAGAGTGAGTTCCAAGACAGCCAGAGCTTTTTACAGATGAACCCTGTCTCGAAAAAACAAAACCAACCAATTAAACAAACAAAAAACAACCCTAATGTATTTGAGACTTTCGGCTCGAGCCCTAGTACTACAAAAACAAAAAAAACCCCAAAACCATAATAATAATAACGATAACGTTTTGAGGCAATGACAAGTAAGCCCAATGTGAAAGGAACGAACAGAAAAGACAAACGTGCTTCTCCTTTGACCATCACCCAGAGTTATCTACGCCCACCTGGTAAGAGTCCAAAGAGAAGGGACTAAGGAGCCGGCTCAGCAGTTTAGCCCACTGGCTGCTCTTGGTGAGGATGAAGGTTCAGTCCCCAGTACCCACACAGTGCAGACAGTCATGAAGGCAAAACACTCAAACACAAAAGGTAAAAATAAATCTTAAGCTCCAGGATAACCTGTTCTACAAAGTGAGACCCTGACTCAAAAACAAAACAATGATAATATTTTTTGTTGTTGCTGCTGTTTTTGTTTTTTTGAGACAGGTTTTCTCTGTGTAGTCTTGGCTGTCCTAGAATTCACTATGTAGGCAAGGATGGCCTTGAACCCACAGATCCACTTGTCTCGGCCTCCTGAGTGCTGGGATTAACAGTGTTCAACACCACGCACAGCAATAATAATAAATCTTAAAAAAAAAAAAGAAAAAAGTTTAAGGTAGCAGAGGGTATATTTGTGTTGCGAGAGGAGGCTCTGATGGGTCCAAAACCTTAACTCAAAACCACCCTGAAGCTGCTTGGCTGTGACATTTACAACTCCACCTCCAACAGCAGGTCTAGCTTCAAATTAGGGCAGATCAGCAGGCTGAGCCTTAATAAATAGCAAGTGCACACTTGTGAAAAGGAACTGTGTGATCCCATGAAAGCTGAGCTGCTACTCTCATGACCTGTGAGCTCTGGGAGCCATTAGCACCTAGTTTAGCTCCTGTATAAAAAAGGTGTGGGAAGGAAAACCTGAGGCTGGCTTTTCTCTCTTAAAACCCTGTCCCTTTCTACTGAAGACAGTCACCAGACAGGACTGGAGAGTGACCTAGCCCAATGGTTAGGTCTTGCTGGCACCCTGTACCCAGCCCAGGCTGACTGGCAGCTTCAGAGTGAAAAGGGAAGCAAGCAGCAGTGCCCTAAAGCTCTACCCTGCTCACATCAAAGAAAGACGCATCGTTGCTGAGCCACCAGGGGGAAGCCAAGTAGCAGTCAGGCAACAGAGGCCCCCTGGAAGCAAGTGTGTCCAGAACTGGTTCTTGCTGGCCAGTGCGAGTCTTGTCTTGGCTGTGGGTTACTTAGCCTCTGCAAACCAGAGATAACCCCTGTATCACAAGGCTGCACCGTGCACAGTCTCAGCTAATTAAAATCTGTACAACTGTGAAGCTCACTCAGCAACTACACAAACCTAACCCTTAAAGACCTGGCTCTCCAATCTCCTGCCACTTCTTCGTTTAAAATTTAAGTTACACTTAACTGTATGTGGGAGATGTGTGGGCACAGGATGTGGGCTCATGGGAGTCTTCTACCATTAGATGGTCACGGTTGGCAGCAAGTAACCTTACTCCATAGCAGCCATCTTGCTGGCCTTCTTGGCATGTCCTTAAAGGTTCCTGAAAACTAAATCCTCTGCCACAGGACATGGATAAATTCCCAACTAATGACAGGCTTCTTCTCTTACTTTTGCCTTTGAGAGAGCATAGGAAACGCTAGGCAGTGGTGTTGCACACTTTTATCCCAGCACTGGGGAGGTAGAGACAGGTAGATAGAATTTGCGGCCAGTCTGGTCTATACAGAGTGAGTTGCAAGACAGCCAGGTTCTCTTTTAACAAGAGAACCCAGTCTCACACACACACACACACACGCACGCACGCACGCACGCACGCACGCACGCACGCACGCACGCACGCACGCACGCACGCACGCCGCACGCACGCACACGCATAGGAAGGGCGGAGAGGGGAGGCCTGAGTAATAAACCCAGAACCAAGAGTTTGCAAATCCTGCTCCAAGGCTCTACACGCTAAGTATCTTGGTGTAGTTTAACATTCATGAGGCTCTGGGTTGAGCAAAGTTTCTCTAGGCTCCTCCCCAAGGTTCTAAACTCTGATCAGAGGTGTGAGTCAACGTTATGGGACACTGCCCAGTCAAGAAGTGTGGCCTCTTGAAACAGGGAGGCCCTATGAAGGATGTACAAAGTAGAGTTCAGAATTTCAATGAGTGGACAAACACAATGAGAAAAGAAATGTGAGAACATTCCCCTTTTTTTTCTCTTTTCCAGGGGAGAGTTCCAATGTAGTTCCCCCACTACCACAGATCCTGCATAGAAAAGGTACTTATCTAAAACTGCTCCTGGTGATGCATATCTATAACCTTAGCATTTGAGAAGTGGAGGCTGAAAGATCTGGAATTCAAAGCTAGCCTGTCTAAAACAAATCAAAGACAAATAAACAAAAGGAAATAATCATGAGTCATTCAGAGTAACTAAAGAACGGCTTTCCCCAGCTGGGTATGGTGGCACATATGTCTTTAATTCCAGCACTCAGGAGGCAGAGACAGGGGGATCTCTTGAGTTTGAGGCCAGCCTGAGCTAGAGTGAGTTGCAGGACAGCCAGGGCTACACAGAGAAACCCTGTTTCAAAAAAACAAAACAAAACAATGAAGACCCACTCTCCTCAAAGTCCACAGAAAAGCAAATGTGTAACTGGGTAACAGCACCCTTTCCCCGAGTCTCTGAAGGTCCTCAGGAAAGATGAACTCACACACACACACAGCTGCCAGCAACTGCTGGCAGGATGGCCCCGTTCAGAGTAAGCTCTCTATGACAGCACCACAGAGAGCTGAGTAAATATTTATCATCTCCAGGGGCTCTGGAACTCATTTTTCTAGTACAACAGCAGTGGATGGCATGGGGAGGGGGGGAAGATTGGTAGGGGGGGAACCTTCCAGCCTCTCAGTGTATACCTGAAGGGGAAGTTAGAGATGCAAATCAGAAGCACCCTCTAAGCGCCCCATTTCCCTCTCCCTGTGAATACACACCCTTATGGGAAGAGGGTAGCCTTGAAACACTCATTCTACTGTCTTCAGAAAAGGGAAATGCGATCCAACCTATACAATTTTTAAGAGCCCACATCATTAAGAAGTGATTGACCATGTTGGGCTCCAAGCATAGCCAGCCTTTCCTATTGGCATATCAGAGAGAAGATGGACTCTGGCAAACACCCTGCAGATTTTCCAAGGAGTGACCTATATTCTACAATCATGAATATGTGAAATGACGATTTAAGGGGAAAAAATTAAAAATGACTCAAAAGTCATCCCTCGAGATTTCTCTCTTGGAGTAAATATGGCGGGGACACACGTCTATTTTGCCAAACATAATTCTGCGACCTATCTTGAAGATATTCTGATTTCTTGGGCCACAGCTCCTGCCTTTGGCCTGACTTCAAAGTGACTGGCCCTTCCCTGGCAAAGGAATAGCCAGGACTGTGAAGCCTCACGAGACTAGGAACTACATGTTCTAAACTCCTCCAATCTCTGGCACTATTTTTATCTCATTCCCTCCCCAAACTAGGATGGGGATGGGCAAGAATACTTCAGTCTTCAAAGGGAGGAATGAGGCCAAAGAGAAGGATACAGCAAACACTCCCCAGGGTGAAGAGTCACAGCCCCTGCCAGGACGACCGTGAGCCGTGCATCCCGCTCCAAGCCTGTAAGGGGCCTTTGATAATCACATTCAACTGTGTCCACAGCTTCACTACCCTCGTCTGGTTTCTCAGGACTTCTTGTCACACGATACTGTGTCCTTAGATGATAAACTTCTGGGTGGCACACCTCACGTCCTTCTCCTATTTTCCTATCAGACTCCACACACTTTAAGCACAGAGTCAAAGAGCTGACCTGTTTTCCTGGGCCACTGGTGGGCCGATGATGGAAAATTACCAAGTCAGAATGAGCAGAGGTCAGTTGGTCAACAACAGGTGTTGATAACTTCTGTGAGCAAAGATCTGTGGGGAGGTCCAGCGGAAGAAGAGGCCAGCAACCCTGGCCCTCAGACTCAATGGCCTAGCAGGGATAACAGAGCCACACCCATGGGGGAAAGGCTAGTGTAGCAAGACTTGCTGGAAAATTCAGATGCAAAGGACAAATTTAGAGGCAAAGCAAAATATGGAGTTTGAGACACACTGGAAGCATCCACACCATGAAAGAGATCAGAAAGGAACAAACGAACCCTCCCTTTTCTCCTGAGGAAGCTGAAAGTTCACTCTGAGTCTAAGAAGGCAACAACATAAAGGCTTCTCTCCTCTCATGCTCTCTCCAGTCAGATCACTTACTGTCCAGAAAAGGTTGCTGTAAAAGAGTCCTGGAGGAATCAGGGTGAGATCAACAGACTGCCATCCAATCCTGAAATCCGTCCTCCCCCTTGCATCTGCTCTGGTGGAGGGATCAACTGTGATCAGTCACCTGCTGACTTTCTATCCTCCTAAAGCTCCAGTGCAGGGACACCACGCTCAATACTTTAATCAAAATGGTCACAGTAGGTTCCAGACTCAGTCAGGCAGTGGTGGTGCACACCTTTGATCCCAGCACTGGAGAGGCAGAGGCAGGCAGACTTCTATGAGTTCAAGGCCAGCCTGGTCTACAGATTAAGTTCCAGGACAGCCAATAAACCCTGTCTTGAAAAACAGGAAGGAAGGAAGGAAGGAAGGAAGGAAGGAAGGAAGGAAGGAAGGAAGGAAGGAAGGAAGGAAGGACTGGACAAACCAGGTAAGACTACATATTCAGACATTATCTGAAAAAATAAAACAGGGCTGGGGAGAGACTCAGCAAGCATGGTAAACAAATGGAGGGAGAGAACCAAACTCACAAAGATGTCCCCTGACCTCTAATACACATTTCAGCATGCATACCCCCAACACCTATCTGTATCTCTGTATCTCTGTATCTCTCTCTCTCTCTCTCTCTCTCTCTCTCTCACACACACACACACACACTTTTAAATGAAACAGAAAAATACAAAACGAAAAACCCAAAATGAGGCAGAGGATGGTAATTAATAGGGCATGGTGACACAGGCTGGCCTTGAACCTACTATCATCTTGCCTGAGCCTCTTTGGAGTGCTGGAATTACAACCTGTGCAACCATGCCTGGCTTAGAAGTAATGTTTACATTCTAATCATGCTCATCTTAGTTGATTTAAAAAAAACAAAAACAACAAACAGAAATAGCAAACTTTCTCTAAATGCACACAGAATTTACAGTGAAAGCATAATTCACTTCCAGCAGACATCTGCTGGTGGATAAACCACAAAGTTCCTATAAGGTCACTTTGATTCAAGTGCACCTATTTTTTGAGACAGGGTCTGTCTATGGTAGTCTGGCTGTCCTAAAGCTTGCTATGTAGACCAGGCTGATCTGAAATTCACAGAGATCCTGCTGTCTTTGTCTCCAGTGCCCGGCCACGAAGTTCACTTTTTGTTCTATGATCTTGTGACCTAACATACTTTCTTTTCTTCTGTCTTTTTGTTTCTGGAGGTAAGGGCTTGTTAATGATGCCCCAGCTAGCCTAGAACTCACCACACACACACACACACACACACACACACACAATCTACCTGACTCAACCTTTCAAATGCTAGGATTAATGGCATGAACCACCATACCTGGCAATCTAACATTTTTCCAACTGAGTTTAACCTGCCTACTCTAGTATCTGACACCGCAATGTCAGGGAAACAGCCTGTGGAGAGGGCTTGTTCATTCCCCCCTCCTACCCCTGGATAAACACTGAATTGAATGCAGTAGGCTTTACACACAGTTTGGCAATCAGTCAGTTCTGTCACACATCCTAAGTAAGTCTTCCTGAGTGTAAGCAGTAGAAGGGGCTACACTAATCATCTCTCGTTAGTCAAGGACAGGGTGAGTCCAAGTAAGGTAAAGGGAGGGGGCCATGACTTCTCTCTCACTCATGTTCTTGCTCTCTCCTTTTTTGTGTGGACTCGTTGGTTCTGAAGAAAGCAGCCCCCTATATCCCGGCTCACCCCACTGCTATGGCTGAATGTACCCAACTCCACACTACTTACTTGCTAAGTCTTCACTCACTCTAAATGCCCAGTTAGAATCACTGACAACTGTATCCACACACAATGATACCACCTAAGAAGTGGGGCCAAGGCTGTAGGAAGCTGCCAAGCCTCAGACCCCTGCCTGTAAACACATATATACTTTTCAACTCCACACACTCCAATAGGGTGGATATTTTAGACAGCTATTGATGTGTATGTGGGAAGGAATGAAAATAACTTGGGTAAATACTGATGCTACATCCCTTCTGCAACCAACGCCCCTCACACCCATTTTCATAATAGCGGCAGCTGTTACTAGGGCAACCTGTCCAGGAAATTGCCCCACACTTCTTCCTCCAGGAGCAGGAAGCCAGAGCAATGTTTCTGCCTTGGAAAAAAACTTGAAGGCCTCTTCTCCCCACCCCCACCCCGTATCCGCTCCAGCATCCCTCCTCAACCCAATTTCTTAGCTCCCTTCCCCACCCCCCACACCTACCTCCTCTAACTCATCCTTGGCATCCAAACTGGTTGAAAGTAGCAGCCTCCCCCCTCCTGGGGCTCCTGCTCCCGCTCCTCCTCCTCCACCTCCCGCTGCTCCTGATGCAGCAGCTGCTGCGGTCCCCTTTCCCTTCTGTAACTCCATGGCTGCAGCCAGGAGACCGGAAGAGGTCAAGGGAGTGGACGGGTGTTAAGTCCTAGAAATGGAGAACTCTGGCTTGCCAAGGACGAGGAGTAAGAGGAACAAGTGGGAAGGAGGCCACAGGCCCGGCTTTCCTCACTCTTGCCTCCTCTCCTGCGGAATGGGAAGGCGCGGGTTCTCTAGAGGCTCCCTCTGGAGTGGCCGTGCTGGGGCAGAGCCTTAGCGCACAAGCACGGCGGACTAAGGGTCTGTGCCCTGCAGGGAGGTGGGCAAGGCTGCCACCCTTGCAGAAGTGGAGAGGGAACCCTCTGGCTTCTTATCCTGGAAGGAGGGGAAACCCTAAGTTTGCCTCTCGACGTGTGGGAAGGAGTCCTGGCCCTGCAGTGGGGGTGGGAAACCTTCCTGGCGGGGTTGGGAAACGCGGTTCCTTGGAATCCGGCCCCTAGCGGGTGAGGATGCGGCAGGAGCGCTATGGGAGGACCAGCTTCTCCCCACACCACACACAGGCGGCCATGGTGGAAGGGCGGGGGAGGATGAGAGCGCCCGAGCGGGCCGAGTCGTCGCCGGCGCCGGAAGTGAGCAGTCGCGGTCCCGGGCGTCCGCCAATAGCGGCTTCCGCGGTGGCGCCAGGTCTCTAAGGAGTAAGCCGCCGCCGCCGGACTGGCCTTTTCCCGGGCTGCCAATTGTAGGGAGAAGAATTGAGCCCGGTATGATGGGCAACAAGTGTGCCCTATCGCATCCTTCC